AATAGTCAGTTCTGACATCATGGCCCTGCTCGATATTCACGTTCATGAAATGATCACTGAAGATAAGGATGCTGCCACAAAATGTGGTAAAGAAAGCAGATGGTGCCTGGCAATCAATTGGAAGTGTTTGGGGTCTTAAAGGTTTGTATTCAAATAAGCAGCTACCTAAGTGAGAAGTCAACTAAGTCCACACAGAAAAAGCACACCAGCTTATGTGATCCATAGATGACAATTACAAAACTTGAATAAGGTGAGGCGAAAAACATCAGAGCAAAAAGTATACACACAAATTGTGAAGGGCTATAGGGACGGTGAGAACCCAAAACCCGTGTGTAAAATATCTTGTCTAACTGAGCCACTGACAGATCAGTTAACCACCATATAGACACAACCTGAATTTGTACTGGGTACAAATATCTCTTATTGGTTCCATGACAGAAATTTCTTCCCTGACTTTTTAATTATTGTTGGGGTTCTTTTTCTTCTTACGCATTAGTATTTTTTTCCTGTATACTATTATATTTTTACCCTTACCACCTTAGTGCAGTTTTGTGTTTTATTGTTTGGTCTCCCAGCTGTGAAGCACAGGAGGAGTCTATGCATAATGATAACAACAACGGATACAGGGGATATAGGGAATACAGGGGTTGGAGGGAAGATAGGAGGCAAAGGGGATTTGGGGTGTAACTAATGAAGATGGGAGCGGGGAGGGAACACCAGACAGATTGTGATTGCATTAATCATCTTTAAGGCGATTTAGCCATGGGGGTGTCAATATTCTAAAATTGATGTATGGTGATTATACAATTTTCCATGATATGATTATATGATTTAATTATTGAATTATATGATATGTAAAGTAACTGGCAATAAAACTGTTGGGAGAAAAAGATTAAAATTTGAAAAAATTTACAATTTTTATTTTATTTATTTCCCCCCCCACATTTGGGGAAATCGCAGGGGTCAGCACATCCGGAGTGCAATGGATAAGCCTCGCCCTGGGAAAACCACCTTCATGATCATGGTATCTCCCATGCCAGGTCAGTAGGTGCCTCATTAGCGCAGTAGGTAGCATGTCAGTCTCATAATCTGAAGGTCGTGAGTTCGACCCTCACACGGGGCACAATGCCTTTTGTTCTGCGTCTTTACAATTTTTAAAATGTCAATTTTCATAGAAAAATTCAAGCACCTTAATGAGTAAGATTTTAAAAGTATTAGGAGTCATAGTTTTATACCTTCTTATATAGGAAGAAAGAAGAAAAGTTCTTTTGTGAAGAACTCTATCAAAATACACAAATATAACTCTATCATAATACTATAATACTAATACTAATACCAAGACTTGACAAAGACATAATAGAAAGAAAATTACTGCTGCAAATAGCTTATAAATCTTCATGCATTACCATAAATAAAATATTTATAAACAGAATAAGTAAATATGTTAAAAGAATATGAATACAGCAGCTAAATATCTTGGCAAGAATGCAAGGATGTAATTCATCAATAACTAAAAGAAAAAGCATAAGGTTAACTTGTTAAATACTAAGAGTATTTAATAAAATCTATTGTATATTTTTATGGAAATATGCAACTACTTATAAACAAGTATTTTTAGTGTTTCACACCCATGATAACATCCAAACAGTAGCACTTATAATGAAATCTAAAACCTCTCCT